CTTTAATTTCTACGGGTGACCAAATTATGAAAGCTAGATATTTGGACAGAATATTAATAAATCATATAGAGATTAATACAGAAATTAATGTAAATTATCATTTGTTAATCTATACTTATATTAAAGGCTATACCATTTACTAAATTTAGTATGTAGAATAGTCAAAGCAATTAATGTTTTTCTATTTTTATCATTTGAATATTATATTTTATATTTATTTATTTCAAATCTAATCATTACTTAATGCTTTTAAATGCAGTTGAAAAGTAGCACATTTTTTGGTTTTTGATTTTTAAATCCGTGCATTTGGGAATCTTCCAAACTATTTTCATAAAGAAAATATTAATCAGATTTCTTTGTTGTTAAAAAAAAATCTCAAAAAAATAAAAATCTGATATCTAAATTAGTTAGAGATTACGATGGCTTATTGAATGGCCAAAAAAAGATCCAATTCGTGGTTAGGCCTTCCCGGTCAACATACAGATCTTCAACAGAAAATAAAACACATGATTGTGAATTATTTTTCAGCGCGTAATCTATCTATATATATATTAAAAGCTAACATATTTACCAAAAACAGTAGCAAGAAAAGTCAACACGCATTTAATGTATACTTTAATTGGAAATTTTTTACTATATGCATTAAATGCTTGCATATTTACATTTACTATCCAAATATGATCTTTAAGATTTTTTCCTTAAATAATTTATGCAATAATTTTACTGATATCCATTATAATTAATATTTGTCGAGTAATATTTTTTAACCTTTATTTAATTATATAACACTATTATTTTTTAAAAAAATTAATATTATTTATTATTTAAAAGATAATGATCACATAATTAAATGATTTTATTGATGTTTAGATAATAAATTTATAGTTATTCTTTAAAATTTCTACATGTTATTTATTTGTATATTATTGTCAACTATGATAGTGTTTTAATCACTTTTTTTTGTTATGTTTCAAAAATGAACTTATTGTAAAATATTTTTCTATTGCATAGTATGTTAAATAAACTATAAAGTCTTACGATGAAAATTAAAAA